ATACCAACAGTCAAACATGGTGGTGGTAGTGTGATGATCTGGGGCTGCTTTGCAGCTTCAGGACCTGGACAACTTGCCATAATTGACGGAACCATGAATTCTGCACTCTATCAGAAAATCCTGAAGGAGAATGTCCGGCCATCAGTTTGTGACCTCAAGCTCAAGCGCACTTGGGTTATGCAGCAGGACAATGATTCCAAACACACCAGCAAGTCCACCTCTGAATGGCTCAAGAAAAACAAAATGAAGGTTTTGGAGTGGCCAAATCAAAGTCTGGACTTAAATCCGATTGAGATGCTGTGGCATGTTCTTAAACAGTCCATTCATGCTCGAAAACCCTCCAATGTGGCTGAATTAAAACAATTTTGCAAAGAAGAGTGGGCCAAAATTTCTCCACAGCGATGTGAAAGACTCATTGCCAGTTATCGCAAACACTTGATTGCAGTTGTTGCTGCAAAGCGTGGCACAACCAGTTATTAGATTTAGGGGGCAATTACTTTTTCACGTAGGGCCAGGCAGGTTTGGACAGCTTTTTTCCCTTAATAAAATAAATAATCATTTAAAAACTGCATTTTTTATTTACTTGCATTATCTTTGTGTAATATCAAAATTTGTTTGATGATCTGAATCTTTTAAGTGTGACAAATATGCAAAAAATTAAAAAAACAGGAAGGGGGCCAACACTTTTTCACACCACTGTACGTACGCAACCCAGGCAACGATTAGTTCTGTGAAACAAAGCAAAACCAATGTTACACCGTGTCTACGGACGTGAGCAGCGCAGTGCAACAAATCCCTGACAGAAAACTGCTGCCGGGTTCTATTTATGACGTGCTGACACAAATTTCAAATGGTTTTCAACGGTCGTTTGATCGCGTCCAGTGTAGGCAGACTTTAGCTGTTGTAGACACGGTGTTACTCACCTATTGAGAAGAAACAAAGCAACCTCGGCGTCCGATCGCAGGCCTCCGCTCCTTGAGTTCTCTCCAGCGCTGGAAAGCTGATCCGATATTTACACGGGTCCTACTTCTTGCCTTATCGTTCCGCAGACGTTTTCCTCTTTTGTTTTTTATCCGCCAACTCTATCTTTCTGTCGCTCGGCTCGGCTAATGTCCGTCCCATGCACTGAACGCGCTCTCCTCCACATCACGAGTAGACACGCCCCTTATTGCTGATTGGCTACAAGTTTGTTTTGCGATTTGGGCCGAATCAGTTTTCTAAAGTGTTTTTGAAAAATCACTTACTCTGCCTTTAAGCTTTAAAGCGTTTCATCCAGTAGCAAACAATGGAGCGCGCTCTGCTGGACAAACTAAGTAATTACACCATTTCAAGCATCTGCGTTATATGCTCTGTAAAAAAAAAATTTCATATCGGCGGCATATTCGCCGAGCTCATATCGGCCGATAATATCGGCTAAACGATATATTGGTCGGGCTCTAGTCATTTCCAGTTTCTTTCTTTCATGGAGCACAAACGGAGATGTTTACCAGTATGTTTACATTGTCCTTTTCCACATAATAAAAGCAAAGTGACCAAAAAGAGCAAAGAACAAAAGCACCATAAAAGCAGTCCAGATTCATATTCGCCAAGTCTTCCAAAGCAATACAATAAGCCAGTGTGAGAAATGGACCAAAATTTAGCCTACATATAAAAAGTTACTCGCACGGAAAAGAGCAGCATGAACATTTAAAATATCTCTTTTTTTGAGTTCCAAGATAGAAAGATTGTGACATTTTAGAGTAAATTAATTTTCATATTTTAAAACCCGAACCCGACTAACCGACTTTCAGAATTAGAAACAGCATTCACCAGAAGAAACTACAATATATATAATAATATTATAGGTGTCTGATAACTGATAACATTTCATTTCAGGACAAATTAATTTACTCTTTTTTTTATTTACTTAAGATTAACCCAAGCAACAAAGTACTACAAGCAGAAAGAGATTTAAACTGCAGAAACAATGCATCATGGCATCATGTTTTACAATCACATCATATAACCTCTTAAGCAACAACAACACATCCTCACAACCTCAGATGAAGACAGCAGCAGCAGCAGACTCATATTAAAAACATTCAATCACATTATATTCTAAATCCACAGAAGCAGTATTCAGTTATACTGATCTAACCACACAAAACGAATATCGGTCAGTTTTACCAGAAATCACAGGATGAACCAGCTGTTAAATGATATTTTGCAGACATTACACCTAAAAACCGCTGAGCCTCTGACGGGAAAGTGTGAAAACTGTCCCAGTGAAGGCGCTCATTGATACCTGTGTGTGTTTAGTGAGGGCCATCAGCTGCACGGCTAAAGCGACGAGTCAATTACAACACAAACCCAAACAGCGACGTTTCATTGAAACTCAGCGGCGTTTTATTTCTAAATAACTTACCTCATTACCTGGTTGACGGTCTCCGCCCGCGATATTTCAGTCACATTCTGCTGTCTGCTGGGGGGTGACGGTAGCCCGTTTTCCTGCGCTGAAGGAAAACAGTTCCTTAGCATCCCTCTCTCATCCCTCGGAGTCCGTCAGCTGTGGAATGCCGTGAGGAGGACTGCGAGAGGGGCGAGCGTCGGTGCGCGCTTGTGCTGCAGCGCCTCTAGCGGTAGGATGATGAATAGCCGCGCTGTGGCGCTCAACGCCTCTAGCGGTGTTATGATGAAACAGCAGGGCTTCAGCGCCTCTACAGGTAGAATGGGATCCACAATCCAAATAGACAACCGGCAAAGTACAGTATACTGCTATCTACACCACTCAGAACATATAATATAATATAA